TGGATCTACCTAACTGGATTGTCTGTCCAAGGTACACGTAGTGATCGACAACTTCGAGAGTATCAGTTCCAATGACCACCGGTACGGGTGCAACATGGACATTCGACATGATTTTCGTCTTGTTCATGTTCATTTTAAGACCCACCTGTTTGGAAACGATACTCAGGTCGCTGAGCATTGTACTGATGTGCTCCATCGATCTTGCCAAGATGACTATATCATCGGCGAAACGAAGATGAGTGATGTATTCGCCATTGATGTTGATGCCGTATTCGTCCCATTCCAAGAGCTTGAAGACGTCCTCCAATGCATTCGTGAACAGTTTCGGAGAAATGACATCTCCCTGTCTCACGCCTCTGCGCAATTGGATTGGTTTCGTGCTCGCTTCCTGGTAGCGAATCGACATTGTGGCGTTGCTATACAAACGCTTCAACACTTCGACGTACCTGTAGTCGATTTGGCATCGCTGGAGGGACTGCAGTACTGCCCAGGTTTCGATTGAATCGAAGGCTTTCTCATAGTCCACAAACGCTAAGCAAAGTGGCAGATTATACTCCTCGGTCTTCTGTATAATCTGCCGTAGCGTATGTATGTGGTCTATGGTGCTAAAGCCTTTTCGGAAACCGGCTTGTTCGGGTGGCTGGAAGTCATCAAACCGGCGTTCGAGACGATTCGTAATGACCCTCGAAAACAGCTTATAAACGTGACTCAGAAGCGAGATTGGTCTATAATTCTTCAACAAGGTCTTGTCACCTTTTTTGAAAAAGAGCACAACCACGCTTCTGTGCCACGCTTCTGGCGTCGTACCCTCGAGAATGACGGAATTGAACAATTTTTAAAGGACTAAGAGTACCGGTTTTCCACCCGCTCGCAAAAGTTCAGTAGTGATTCCGTCATCCCCCGGTGCCTTGTTGTTCTTGAGCTGTTTGAGTGCCATTCTAATCTCGTACAGGCTGATGTCTGGGATATCCTCGGTGTGATGTCGGGTCGGCTTTGCTCTGGTGTCCTGAGCATTGCTTCCAACGGGTTGTTGTGATGATGTGTACAACTGTCCATAAAACCTCTCAAGCTCAATCAGTATCTCCGGTTTTGAAGATACGATCCTGCCGTCGTCGATCTTCAGCTTCGTCATCTGACTCGACCCAGCAGACAAATTTCGTGTAAACACTTTGGAGCCTTGGTTCCGCTCTATTGCCTCCCTAATACGTGTAGTATTATAGGAGCGCAGATCGCGTCGCAGTGATTTGGAAATTCGTCTGTTAAGTCGACCATATTCCCACATATCGGTTGAAGATTGCAGTCTCATATCTCTCCGGTCCGCCATCAACTTGAGCGTTTCGTCTGAGAGCTTTTGAGATTTAATACGGCGCGGGGCCTTATAGAACTTAGACCCCACAGCTTGGATTGTTTCTACAAACCCGTTGTTTATTTCGTCCACAGACTCGCATTCAGCTAGACACTGAAAGCGATTGTGTAGTTGGAGTTGGAAGGCTTCGGGATCCACGATATGAGCAGCACTAGGACGGAGCATAAACTTCATCAGACGTGATCTTTCGAGCTTAACATTGATATTCAATGTGCCTCTAACGATTCGGTGATCGCTACCGGTTTTCACCCTGCTGATCACGGAGACATCATTGAATATGTGCTTTCTGGTTGTCATGATGAAGTCGATCTCATTTTTTGTCGAACCATCAGGGCTCATCCAGGTCCACTTCCTGGAGGGTCTCTTCTGGAAGAAGGAGTTCATCGCAAAGAGTCCCTTCTTCTCCATGAAATCGACCAGCTTCTGGCCCCGGTGGTTGCGTCGCCCATACCCAAATCGACCCACCCTCAACTCATCGCCGTTCGAAGCGCCCAGCTTCGCGTTAAAGTCCCCCATTACAACGGTGAAGTAGGTATTAGTCGTATGTATGTCTTCAGAAATCTCCTCATACATAGCCTCTACTTCATCGTCGGAGTGTGAAGAGGTCGGGGCGTAAACCTGTATGACCTTCAGCGAATACCTTTCAGTAATTCTGAGTATAAGGTACGCCACTCTGCTCGACACACTATCGATCTTCACCACGTTGTTTACGAGGGACTTGTGGACGAGAAACCCAACACCAACTTGAGATTTTTGATCTCCTTCCCGGAAAAAGAGCATGTTATCGGACTCAAGGATTACCGTATCCTGGCCCTCTCTTCGGATTTCGGATAATCCCACTATGTCCCATCGCAACTTGCTCAATTCTTCCTCCAGCTCTAATAACTTCACGTCCTTTAGTCCTCAGTGTGCGGACATTGTATGTTGCTAGGGCCAGAGTCCGTTTATGTTGGTAACGCCGAATCTGCCGGGGATTCTTAGCACCCCCTGCCCCTCCGTTACCTGTCCCTCTACCAGAGACAGGAATAGAGGGGCTGCCGGGGACTGGGGGCCATAGATCATTGTCGTCCATCATGAGGGGGGGGGGGGGTTGCCATAATCCCCACGCTTGGCAGGCGACTTGGGGATCGCAGTAGGTGGTGGTAGGTGATACCGGGAGGCGCTGCTGCCCGCCTTCCGTATAATCCCTCAGTCGGCTCCTACGACACCCACGGGAGGATATGGGGGGGTGCTACTCTTAGGCCGGCACCCCACGGCGTAAAACCACAACGTTTTAAAAAATATATGTTGCCCAAAGTCACTATACCACGCGAACGAAGTCTCGGGCAAAAGCTAGCAGTTAATAATTTTAAGCTTTAAAAAGTAGTGACATTGGAATCTGTAATAATACTACACGGAATATTAGAGATTCAATCAAATAAAACCTATTTCAAGAGGAAATAAAGATTTAATTGTACCTCTAATGCTGCAATAGCGGTGTGTTCGATACTATTCCCCCCACTGAAATTTTAAAAATACTGAAGATTTTGTATACTGACTATTTGCAAATAATGGTCCGTCTAAAATATTTTCTTTTTGTTGCGTTTTTGTTGCTAACATAATTGTGTCTTCAAATTTGTTCGAACGCTTGCAATATCAAGTAGCTAAAGTGTGATGCAATGTATTTTGGTAAACCGGCAAAGAAAACCGTTCATGTAGTCAAGTCACGCTGCTAGTTCGTTAATGTAGAAAAGAAAGGAGGAGTTTGCTGAAGTCTCAAACATAAATTATAGTAAAATATCATTATAATGTTCTTCAGTAACATAAAAGTCGTTTAGTTGTAACTATAGCAGTTTATTTATTTATTTGCATATTTTAGTACCTAACGAACCTGAATAGCGATATTTATAAGATCATTTATTTATCGACCCCACTTATACTTTAATTTAGATAAGATTATAGTTTAATATAGTAACTAAAATATGTAGATCGAGTCAACGCTAAATAAGGAAACTATTCTCTTAGATAGCTTTTAAAATTCAATAATATTTAATTACACAATTTTACAATAAAAATTTGTAATTAATTTATATGCGTAGTTGCATTATATCTATGTACATATTACCTTTGATGGTTCATTGATTTAACTACCTAATCCCATTTAAAATTAATCTTTGACATTTCATACACAACACGATGTACAGACATTGAGTTTTCTCTATTTGTATAATTTACAACCTTTTTCGTCTCATTTTGTCTTCATGTTTAACGCTTTCTTAACGTCCGGTATTTTTATAGGGAGTAGCCCTAAAGTTTTATGATGAATCCCACCGCGGACATATCATACTCGGTTGGTTTTTATTATTTTCAAACCATTACCCTTTCGGTCTCAAAAGAAATCAGAAACATAGATAGCAATGATGCTAGTAATATATTTTTATGTCTATACGTTTTGATGTCATATTCACATTTGATTTCACAAAACCATTGCTTGAAAATAAACTTTTAAATTAAGAGATCGGGTGGTTTCTACAGGAAAATATACAAGAAGAAAAGAACAACTTAAAAAGCTATTCTGTATAGTTATCAAAGATTGTCTATATCGTATGAATAAAATGTAGATTTCGTGTCACATACAAAGTGAAACGCAACTAGTGAAGTTGTGACAGACATAACAAGATTCATGGTGAGCAAATATGGCCAAACGTATTAATTGCAGTGCTTTCATTACATATCTATAGTTGTTTTTTTGTCAAAGTTGTAATTGAAATTTATATCAAAATAGTTAATTAAATATAATTATGGTGTAAACAAATAAAATAATTGTTAAATTTCTACCTTGCAAATAAAAAATCGCTTATTAGAAGACGTAGTATTAACCTATATTCGTTAAGTAGGTACATATATACTTGACTTAGCTTTTAAAATTATGTAAAACTGAATTAACAATGATTATTGAAATAACGATAAGACAAAAATGACTGTGATTTCTTTTGTTGTTTTTTCTTAAACATTTTACAGTGAAACTCACTTCACTTATGCCACCGAAAGTTATTACTAATTAAAGGTTGACCGGATGCCGTTTTTAAAGTGAATTTGTACACCTGAGTTAATTCTAATTCGCATTAGAACTTTAACAGTATCGCAGGGCTGATCGTATTTTTTTTTACTTCTCCCTCCACCGAGCGCTTCGTTTAATTATTCGAAAACATCTATAAGTTAACTGAATTTATCTTATTTATGATAATATTATTGAACAAAATTTGTAATAGAATAATTAACATACTTCACGATGAATAAATGTTTCATAATTTTTAAGCACGAATTTATTATTCTATTTCAATAAAAACTAGGAATGTAACTGCAAAATTACTACTAAATCCGATGTATCGGCCGCTCGGGCTCAATTGTATGGCCGCATAGCGAGTTTGTTTGTATTTGTAATAATAGGGCTCTCTCTCTGTTTACATATATGAAAGTCAAAATTGACCAGTGAATTTTTAACGCACAGTTCAAATAACTGGTGAGATAAAGCTTTTGGCACATTTATAATTATTATGACAAAGTGATTCGTTATGAAAGGATTTTGGAAAACTTAAACTTTGTACTGACATAAAAATCATGATGTTGATATATTGCTTCTGTATTGTCACAGCGTATAACTCCAACGCCGAGTATCAACTTTCCCGATTTACCGGAGTGCGTGATCAACTTCGATTCCAAAGCCAACGGAGAGACACCCGATGACAGCACACCCTTGAGCGCCCAACACCAGCTGCAGTTACTCCGCGAACGGCTGGAGCAACAAGTGCAACAGACGCGCGCTGCTGTAGCTCAATTGCTGCTTCTTAGAGACCAACTGGCTGCAGAACAAGCGGCGCGTTGTGAAGCCCAGGTATGTCATCCACCTTTTACCTATGTTCATAAATATATATTTGCTTTGGAAACCAGTGGTTACCTTCTATACTGACCTGCCAGGTGAAGGGAACACTAATCCATCAGCTGTTTGTGTACAAAGAACGTACTGATAAATTGTATTACGAAAATATATAAATATTTATAGCAACCATTTTTGTTTAGCTAGACAATTAATTTTTTCCTATCCCGGGTAAATATAAAATCTAGTATAATTTCACGGGATAGGAAGGGAAAAATGCCACTATACATAATCGTTAAATACTTCTTTCGCTTCTTGAAATGCTGAACAGCTTTTTATTGCTTCTGTCATTTTTTATGAAAACACGTGATCAAGAAAAATGCGATTTAGCTTTCCTAATTTCTATATCCTTACACCTTCAACTTGTATATTATGGAAATATTGACATTCATTCGGGTGGCATTCTTTAAATATTAAATAAATATAATATATAAGCTAACGCCCAACCTTTCTGATAAACATTAAGAGAAAGAAATAATGCTTAAAACGGATTAATAAAATATGCTCTAGTCACATACAAGTCACATCGTTATGGTCAGATTTAAGCGAGTTAAAAATATGTCGTGCTTAAAGGTAATTGGGTAAAAAAGTCGGGAAGATTATTTCTTTAAAATATAAATATTTATTTGAATTTTAAGAATAAAAACAGAATCTTTCATAGGATTTTTATTACACAAATTATAACAACAATAACATTGGGCTAGTCAACAAGATATGGAAATATTGATTTAAATATAATGTTCGAAAATTTTGCGATAATTGTAATATTTTCAACATATTATAATTACGAAAATTAATTGAATATTATTAAATTTCAATAATAACTTTGTAATTATATCTTGTTGAGATAATTTCGTAAATTTACGCTTATATCGCAATTATTTAACATAGTCTTGTCATATAGTTTTCTCTGTTCAAAATAAATTAAACAGAACATCGGAATGATTTGAATTAACCGATTCTATTAAACGCTATCTTCAATCGGAATTTAATTTTAGTACAATGACAGTGATTCTTTTGATCATTTTTACATAAGTGAACAGCATCGTAAAAAATATCAACACATTTAATGATGAAATCTTGAAGGAAATCCCTATAATGATGTAATATTATATTCAAATTGGAATAAGACGCTTCCGGATCCATGAGTCCTATTCTTGCGTAATGAAGTAACATATGAATATAAATTTAAAGGTAAAGAAGGGATCACCGTGTCCTATTGTTAGAGAACAAAATTGGGAATGGAAGTAGTGCTATTGTTGAATATTATTTATTCTTGCTCATATGAGAAGACACATATTAAAAGATATTAAAGACAGAAGTATTTGTGCTAGTAAGTGGTTGCAATATTTGGCATATTTAAAGATTTGAAGAGCATGCATAGTCTTGATTATCACTTTGAGTTCTTGAAATTATGAAAATATAGGATTTGGATAAATTTTAACATATCGGTATTATTACTTTTTTTTTTAACTTTTTGCTTCGAATTCTTATTATTTCTTGTATCGTACTTGTAATTTATATCATCGGAATGTTTAAATTAGTTTACCAGATGTACGTGTTTAAATTTTTTTAACCTACCGAAATGAAGAAAACCTTAAAAAACTTACGAAACTAAAACTTGCTTCAACAAAATAAACTGCTACTGCCTTAAACATACATAGATTCAATCTGATCAATTATATAAATTGTTACCTGATATAACATTGAATTTAGATTTTTTATAGAAGTTAATCAAACGCATATCCTGTACATTAAGTAACTTTGGTATTTGGAAATTTCGTTCAGCGCTTTGACCAGTGGTTGTCAACTGATAAACTTAATTTTCTGCAACCAACATAACGTCATCAGAATAAGACAGTTAACAACTAGGTTACCCATTCACAATCCTTTATTCATAGATTTAACATTCTGAAGACAATTATTGATATATGATGAACAGTCTTGATGGTATATATATTATGATTACAGAATGTGACATTTACATTTTTATGGACCAGAATGCCACTGAATACATTTAACAGGTCATAAAGTCTATAATATTTTAAAGTTGGATACGTATTATGATATATTCTTGTATAATATCCTATTAATATTATAAATGTGAAAGTTTTTTTTGTTTGGATGTTTAGATGTTTGGATGTTTGTTCGTCAATCACGCCGAAACAACTGAACGGATTTTGATGAAATTTAATATACAGATAGTGTACGAGCAAGCGAGCAAGTACGTCTTGTCAGCATTTACACCGCTTGACCCAAATTCGTTCAGTCGTCATTATAATTACTTAAATATTATAAATTCAGTTCGTAATCAGCCACCAAGAGCGCTACGCGTACTCAAACATTCAATCATACATTCATACGTGTTAGTTAGTGTTAATAGTTGTTTCCAAATATAAAGTTTATATTCAATCAAATATTATCATTTACCAAATCATATCGGTATAACCCGAATAGATAGGGTATTAGCTGACTTAGATAATAGGATACTTTTTATCCCACTAAACATTACCCTGGGGTCCACGCGAGCGTAGCCGCTGGCGAAAGCTAATGTTAATAAGACTCTCTCCGTGTAAATATGTAAAATATGTTCGGTGGCAGTGTAAGGAGCAGAACATAAATTAATTTAATAAATATATAATACATCATATATAACTACAACAATTATATTAGTCATAAATAGTCTAATAAATCAGGTCTTCTGTTCATGTGTTAAATAAAGTAATATCATTATTTTTTTTATGATGTAGCTATAAATCTTAACTTTTACTTCATAATGATTAATAAGTCAAAATGAAAAAAAAAACTGTAAACATAGGTAAACATTTTAAATTTTTAATAATAAGTTTTAAATAAATGTTTCTTTATTCAATTGAATTATTACCATTTCATTTCAGGCCCGAACTCACCAGCTTTTGGTCCACAACAAAGAATTGCTAGAGCACATAGCAGCGTTAGTAGCTCATTTACAAGAAAGAGAGAGGGGATCTACTAAGCCAATCAACGCTCAACAACTAACCCTATTACCTCAGGTTAGTAATTAGGTGTTATGTTTGATGTCATTTTTAGTTTTATTATTATTATTATAATATTAGTTTGCGTCACGTGTGCTCGAGTGTCGAAGCTTTTTAATAGCCAAAGTTTTTTTTTTTCATATTAATATTTTATTTTACGATGCTTCGTATACGATACCCTACCCTACACCTTTTGATTTATAAATTAATTACTTCCACACTAGTCTTTTACAGTTATAAAAGGCCGAGTAAAAGTAGAATTATATAAAAAAGTTAAAGCTTATTTTCATTGGTCTATATAAGGATTTCAACCTAACCTCACCTCCGGAGGTAATAAACAATAAAACCATCTAAATGTAATACCTACATGATTAACGATACTCATTGGAGGAGTATAGAAGAAATCAGTTTAAATAGTTGGTGATAGGGGATCAATAATTTGTCATAAAATGTTAGCAACCACTGCTCTGTAAGTAGGTGGATATACAGTATAGGCGACTTCTCGAAAACGTGATTATAAAAAATGAAATTTCCATGTCAATACCAATAGCATAGTCGTTTTACCATCTACGAGAATCCTCGCATAAAATAATACGTGTCTATTCCTTACAAAAAATCCTACGCTAGCACTATGGCATACGTTGTAGAATTTTTCAAACCCGCGTACCCCATCGACCGATCAAAATTTTCCTTTGAAAAGCAAATACAAAGAATATAGAAAAACGGGAAATGTACAAGAACTGATATCACCGGAACTTCCATAACTATACGTAGGTCATAATAATAACACACAGATCATTCTCAATCACATTCTGAATTGCGTATGGAGTCTATTTATTACCAGAGCTCGTTGTGAAAAAGGCATCATTGTGGCAATTATTCTAGAACACCCCAATGATGTCGCACCTCTAGTACATACAATAATATAGAAATATTATAGCAATGTCATGTTAATAAAATATAAACACAGCCTAGTGAGAATTTATAACGAAAACATTCATCACTTGCAATTTCTGAAATAATTCCCTTGTGGTTACGACGAGATCGAAATGTAAATTGTTTAGATTTGAATTATTACTAAAAACTTCGTAATAAATTTTTAGGGGAAAAATGATGATAATTGTAGTTTTTCTTTTAAAAGAAATCGATTGATGGTACGAGTAAATTAAGAGAAAGATGACAGGAGAGAATTACATGTTTTTTTATATAGACAAACCTACTATTTTAAACACATTTGTAATCAAAACGAAAATAGGCCTCCTCGTGCTAAAACAAAAAATGCTTTAACATATTAAACGATTAATAATTTAAATTTAAAGAAGACATATTGCAGAATTTTTATCAATGTTCTGAAAGTTTAAAATTTAAACAATTAATCTATTAGAATTAGAACAGACTTTTCGAAGTTTGATATATGAAATTGATTAATTGAATATCTATTAAATAGCTACTTGTTATTTTCCATTCATGCAAATATTATTACTCCATCGAAGTGCTCATTATTTAGTATGTTTTTAATATTTAAAAATTATTTGCGTTTCTCGTTTGTTTAATTTCACGTGAATATTCTTTTTTATGTCTTTTAATGTTTGATTGTTTTAGTGTTCTTTTTTCAGCCTGTTTGCTTGTTATTTACAACTGAATGGCTTATTTGTTTATTCTTTTTTGCTTTTATATACAAATCACAATAAATTAAGCAATACACATAATTGTGTGCATTTAATTAATGCTTATTAAAATATCTAAAACTAGCCGTTTTCCAGCGACTTCGCCCGCATAGCTTAAGTCACGTGGACAAAAGAATTTAAAAAAATCGAAGTTGTAGTTTCTATGCTTATTTAATGAAAACAAACAAACAGTACAATTTTACATCTTTATAATATTCGTATAATTTGATATTTGAATGGCAGTCACGGTTTAAAAACTATGAAGTAATAGACAGATATTAAAACATGAATAATTAAAAATATAAAGTTATTGGATTGGATTCCCAACTATCTCCTATTTTTATATATTTTAATCGCGTTGTAGCTGACAGTTAGGATTGAGATATTTTACTATAACTTTAAGAAAGATCTTCTACCTAAGACCGCGGGAATATCTAATATAAAAAAAATATAACAGAGACTATATTTGTGGTGCGTCTATGATTACCATATCTATGTTAATGTGCCTGATTATTAGCTATAATTCCTTTTTCATGTCTTTCCTTCTTACTGATAGTATAACTTTGTTGTTAAATGTTACTCGTATCTGTTAAAAACCTGATATTTCATAATCGGATGTAATCTTAAACCTCTTTATAAATATATTCTGAACTTCAAATATTGATTTTAACAATCAAATTATTCATTATTCAATATAAATTTAAGATTTCATCCCCGTTTAGAAGTGCATTTTTTCTTTTAATTATAGTATGTATATTAAATTTTAGAATTATTATTTGTTTATGAATAGATGAGATATAAAAAAAATGCTAGTGATTACAGTATCAGAAAAGAATTTATTCATTAAAATATTTTAGGATGAATCCTGCCTTTCGCACCGCTATTATCTGTTTAAAAAATGATATTAAAATTTCTTCGCTGAATAGCTTTAAAAATTGCTTTATGAGAGTGATCTGTCCCATATACAGTGCTATTCAATCTAAACTTTCCACATGAACATAATTATATCTCAGGCAAATCTGCAAAACGTGGTAAAGTTAGGCTTGTCGTAAGTCATATTCCTATATATATATATATATATATATATATATATATATATATATCAGTCGTTGATTCGAATAATTATTTAAAAAAAGCAAATAGTGAGTCAGCAGAACAGCCTAAAACACAATCCAAATAAATAATATTATTCTATATACTAAATAATATACCCTTGTTTTCTCCGCATATCTGATATATATAAGTCACGATAAATAACTATAATAGCATGTTCCAATTATTTGTTTCTAATCACGTGCCATTTTTTCATGATTCGTAAAGAGTGACATCGTAAAAACATTGTATGCATGCCACACATAAAATTTGTTGTTTATTACTTTCTATTGTTTTATTTATGGCTGTTACTGGCTGTGTTGTATTTCGTTGGTTTGTGTAATAGCTGTTTAGTGCTAAATGTTTTATGGAAATATATAAAGTATTATACTGGAATACTTATTTTTGTAAACGTACTTTGTTGTTATTTGTGGAATCAAAGCAGCACATCAAGTTTCCACAAAATGTTATTATGTTACAATCTAACTGTAAGATTTAAATCTTTTATATAGAGACAGTTTTGATAAACCTGATGTTCTGTAGATTGTACAATTTTAAAAGAATTTATAAAATGTGGACAACTCATGGAATATTCAATTATAAAGATAAAGTGTGTACCATGACACTTTTATTTACAAACGCGTTTATGCTTTGACTGCTATGTCCCTATTACTTCTTCAGAATACATTCGGTCAGTAAAAATTATAGTAAAAAGAAACTCTAATGTGATGTCCATAAATATTATAATACTATAATCTCTTTTAATAAAATACTTATAGTTTCTTATTACATTTTTCTTACAATGCTGCATTTAGGCAAGAGCTGATGTTGGATCCAAAGATACTCCCAAAACAAACATTCAACCGTTGATGAATGGAAATCTGCAACATATCAATACGGAACAACTTATCAATCTGATAACACAAAATACAAATGTAAATAAAAAAGTTGAAAGCAACAACAATACGTTTTCACCGTTCTGCACCACGCCCACCTTGCCACAAAGCCCAACTTCTGCTCCATCATTCGGTGGAATGACGAATGAACAAATTCAAAACTATTTGATCTCTAAATTTCAAGACATGGGTGGATTTCCAACAACCCCAGAAACGAAGCTAACAAACAACCAACAGTTTTTCCAGAACTGCAACGCCTTCCCGAACATACCACCGCTGACCAATCATTACAGTCATACGGACATCGCAAACATACTAAACCATAACATATACAAGGACATGAGTAGCTCTACAGATGAATTAGGTGCTATAGCTCAAGCGATGAGTCTAGGACATTCCGAAAATTCTCTGTGCAGCAACAGCCAAGCCACCACATCTAAAGATTCTACTCCAGACGGGTTGAGTTCAGATGAAGGCGTCCCGTTCATAATGCCTTTATCGCACAATGGTACTCTAACTGCCAAAGGAGAAGATGGTCGCATGAGACTTATCGTACCAGTGAGCCCTTCAGGAAGTACATCTGATATAGTTGAAATACCAAAGGATACAGACGGATACACTGGTATAACATTAAAAGTACCCGAACGCTTGGCTCCAGCTGCCCCAATTACTCGTACTACAAGCGAAAAAGTACCAAACCGCAGCGAAATGATGACCGCTTTACGATCTCAGTGGACAAGACACACCACCAAGTAGATAATTAAATTAGATTGAAATTATAATGATCCTTAATTTTCCGTCGTTTGAAACTGTATCATGGTGTGTATTTTATTTCGATCGAGGACTGATATTAAATACAAGCTCTTCTCTACTTGCTTATGAAGGATTTCAAAGTTCTTTCGCCACATTATTAGAAAGGACTGATGTAATACTGATTACTGGAAAGGTCAATGGTAAGTGTTCCAGTTTGCAGCGCTACTAGATGTTCTAGACAACTCTGATCTACGCTAAACACCATGCTGCAAGATTAGATGCAGATGCACGAAGATTATAAAAGGCAAGAAATTAAAAAGGTAATTCACGACCTTTAGTAATGAGTTATCCGACGCAAGGAGGAGAAGGATGTTTCACGAAACGGACGAGATACTCAACTTCTGTATCTTAAAAAATATTATTTATTTCCGTGGGAAAATATTTTGCTATAAAAGATTGAGACTTTAGAAAGGTGCCAAATTTACAAACGTCACCTAAAGAGACGGCGTACTTTAAATTAGGGTAGAAAATAATATTCAATATATTTACATATCTAAATTGGAACTCTATTACGGAGGATATAAATTTAAAATTTATCTGATCAGGCATATCTTCTCATATCAAAACTGAAAGTAGAATACAGTTTTATGGGCAATATAGATTTGATGATGTTAAAATAGAGGTAAGGCCATTGATTATTATTAGTCGTAAAAAGCTAATCGTATTGTATTTTCAATTCATGTTGTTTCAATAGTAGACTTTTATGACTCGAATTCATAGTTTTTTTATTGCCTATCTTCATTTTTCTCAGTAATGGGTACATTTATTTTCTATTTAGTTGTCCTACTTCATCATCAGGCAAATAATAAAAATATTGATAATCGAGTGTTTCTAGTCAATTCTATTATTCTGTTGAATGGATCGTATGTGTTGTTATTTCCGAAATTAATATAATATTAAATTTATTTTGAACAAATATTTATGATATGTATGGAATATGTGTTTCAACAGGATTCACCAAAGCTGTTAATTATGCCAAAACTTAGATTTTATTATAAAAAAGGACCAATGGAATTAATATCACTATTGTGTGAAATATATAAAACAAGTAGAAACCGATCAGGAACAATATCAATAATTACATTAACACATTTTTTTATGTTGGTATTATAATTATAATAAGCATTTTATATCCCGTATAGATTTTACCATTTACAAAACCTTATACCTATGAAACACTGGGATTTGACTCACAAAGGATTATTATGCGTACAGATGTAACTATCACTTAAGTCTTAAAATGTGCCTTCAGGAGCACAAAAAAGTTTGAAGTTACAAACAAGGGTCAATACTTTTATTCCCAGGAATCACACCAAACTTACTAGTCACTACACTCTTCTTATAGCATTTCCATTATAAGACTAGATGATGTATTTTGATTACAGATTCGTATTTAATTTTTAAATAATGTTGTAGTAAACCTATAAATTACTATTACCAAATACTATTGAATATAAAAGCTAAGTTTGCATGTGAATGAGTGGAACGACTCATCGAAGAGCACCTGGTACAAAATTCGAATCAAACGACGCGACTTAGGAACTTTCTCAGTCCTTATTCTCAGTATTACTACTGATTTTGCCTGCTCTTAGTAATTTTTAAAATTTTATTTAGATTTAAAGATCAAAAAATAAAAATTGTTGCATTTAAAAATAAGGTTAATTGATCACGAGGAATGACCGTTGGCACGTTAGATCTGTCAATTAAGATATTTAGTTGAAATGTTTTTTATAACTACGTACATAAGCGACCCTAATTAATTTGACTTTTGTATGAAGTTGGGGGCTTAGTACGAGTTTTTACTTTTGATCTTTGAATGAAATAGTTTAAAATCTTGACATCCAAATGTATTGTATCTAAAACTTATTTAATGTAAAACTATTATTAAAACTTGTACAGAGCCCTTTGAACTAAGTCAGCATCTAAAAAACATGTGAACTTAGCTAACATTTTGAGTGTGATATATCTGACAATTCTAGTATTATTATATTACAATACGAATTAAACTTCTACTTATTTCATTTTCGTAATAAAAAACAAATGAACGATTTTGTTTTTATAATAATCTATTTACAAAAAGAATCTAAAATATTATTATATCTCGATGTACTCGTATTTAGATGAATTTCAAACTTTTGTACACCTTTCAAATTGTAAACAAATAGAAAAAAAAATGTAATATCATTTCTTTATTGTGTCTATGTTATATCATTGTAATAATAGCAATAGTGTTTAAAATATATAAACTGGATGTAATAGAAAATCCTTTGTAACCGTGATTCAATTATTATCTCAAGAATTGTATTTCATTGTGGTTATTATCCATAGACGCAGACACATATATAACACATAGCAGAAAGTCTTAAATAAAGTATAGAACGATGAAGTTTGTTGTAGTATTTATTTCCGAAGCAGCGAAAATTAAGTGTGAGTATATTCTGAACTTTAACTATTTAAATATTTCTTTTTGTTAGCATAAAAACAATTATTCAAATAATCTATTTTGACCCCTTCTAGTATAGCTCAGTTAGGTACATATAAATATACCACTTATCTAATTGCTCCGTTCTATAATATATAGTTTTGAGTAAATCCTACTTTACTGTACTTTTAGAGAAAGGCAATTCTCATTGGGCCAACGTTAATGGCTCATCCTCCTTAACCATACATAAGGAAGGCCTGAGCCCATGTAGTGGGGACGTAGATTTTTTCACATTTTTTGTAGCATACATATAACATATAAGCAGAGTTTCTATGTCACATGGAAACTGAATGGTTTTATGTGGTACTGGTAATGTGCTACAGTTAAAACGTATAGTACAAAAAAGAAATCAAAAAACGTGCAGGACATCCCATGTAAATGGCGGTAAGTGTTTATGAATATGACCCATTTTAAAATTCCTCTTTAAAATGAAATTAAAGTATGCGAACTTTCGCTATCGGAACGCTTGATCTACCTCCGGGTTTGTTGATCTTTCTTACATTGAAAGATCAACAAACCCGGATGAAAATATAAATGAAAGGAGTATTTAGAATATCTTTTAATTAAATACGTTTGTTACATACTTTCTATTCCACGATAGTGATAGATACATCATTTAAAAGTAAGTGATACATTTATTAGAACAAGGCATATTAAGAATAGAATAAGCAGATTCGTCGTTTCACCAAACCTGTAACATAAGTTCTTACAGAGCACTTCCTCAGATAGGTACCGTTTGTCTATGATTATGCATACTTCAGTTCTTTTTTTTAATGTGTGACCTATTTGCGTTTACATAATTCCGCCAAAATTATGTTAGTATCCTTTAGACGTAAAGAGACAATATCAAAAAATATATTTTGAGGTAATAAAACAAGACAAATTATTATACATGGTCTTTTATTTACACGAGCACCCAAGTCGTCATTGTCCATATAGAAGTATAGAAATTGTGAAAATTAAAGCCTCATGGTTTATATCATTATAAGCATGATGACTAATTTTTGTTTGTTTGTCCGTCAGGTAGAGTGTTCAAAAATATTAAACACATATTTTTTATTTTTTTTCCTAATCATAAAATTACGGCGTTACATTGAGTTGAAATTTCGCATGACGTCACGTTAGAGTACGTTTTCTACTCAACTGTGACGTAGCGAGCCCCCACTCCTCAACTTTAATGCCTGTTATCTAAGCTATTTCTTCTTAAATTGAAGTAAAAAAAATACGTATCTAATATTTTTCTATTATCTGACTGATGGACGAAATAGAATTACATTTTTTTTACCCAGTCATCATCACTATTATAGTATATAAACTCCTTGATTTTAAATTAAGTATTTATATTATCTAAGTTATAGTAGTCAGATTAAATGCCTTTATAGAGGTGGTATGTCTAACCCCTAACTAGTCGCTAAGAACTTACCAGGGGTGTCATCTTCGGTTTATGAAATGAACATGAGACAAAAATAAGTCCATTGTTACAACCTGCTGACTTACATTATTCGTATCCGATTAAAAAAAATAAAGTTGTCAAAATAAAATATGTACGAAACTTAAAGGAAATTAAAAAAAAAATACCCGCCTGGTTTGCGTAAGGTTATGGACTCGGAATTCTATATCGGGCACCTGGGATTACTGATATTTATTTTCTTATAAATAAATGTCAATGTAGCATTATTAATACAAAATTTATAAAATATAACTGTTTTTTAACTATTTGTATGATGGCTATTAAAATTTAGGTACATAATGAGAAAGTGAAATACTACTTACTTACAGCTACCTAACTCATATTTCCGAACAATTTCAAACATTACCTTTTTAGGGTTTCGTCGTAAACATGGAACCCTTATAGTTTCGCCACGTCCGTCTGTCCATCCGTCCAGGGTGTAATTCAAAGACTATTGTTACTAGAAAGTTGTAATTTGGATAGGAATTTTAAAAATACTGGGGGTGTGGGAAAGCCGTTTTTCATTTCAGTAAACCGTTTGTGACTTATTAAGCTTTAAAGAACTAATTTACGCTAGAGTCAAGTGTCCCTCTCCCTCCAACCAATTAAGTTGGCTTTACAAGTTTACGAGTAATAGTCGACTAATTTTATTTAACTCGAAAATTTCGAACAACTCTGTATTAAACAACAAACGCGATTTTTTTAAAGAGAGCATTGTGGATACATGAATGATCTAAAAAAATAAACGTGATTTTTGTACTTTTCTTAATGGACTAGCACCTGGCCGGTTTAATTTATTATTTAGACTCTGATTTCTATCAGCACTATCCTAAACCGATCCCTTCTTCCCTAAGTCTACCAGAAGAAGCATGGGTCCATCATGCTAGTTCTGGTTAGTAATACAAAATTTTATAATATTTACAGTTTATTAATATGTTTCTCATATGAAACTGAAAACTAAATTAGTGTTTTCTACCGAAAAAGAATCGTTATACTGACAAGGTCGCCCAT